AAAAAGCCAAGGAGCTTCAGCTTCAGCTGCTGTGAGGGGCAGAGATTTTTATGTTTCTTTTTGGACAGGATCAAATGTCTTTCTTGAAGGACAGCAATTTCACAAGTGAAGGCAGGAGGCAGCAGAACAAGCACCAATGTCAGATAAAGTTTACACCTTTTCACTGAAGCGTGGACAGGCTGTTTACCAAGAAATCAGCTGGAACAAGGACAGAGCAAGCACTGAAGAAAAATTAGGGGTTTCTTTAGGGAGTGAGTGCTCAGCCCTTGTCCCCAGCAGGGCACAATGTCTGGCTCTCAGATCCCCAAGCCCAGGACAGGTAGTGTAGGCTCAGACCAAGGAGGGAAAAAAAAACTTTTAGAGCATTGGGGGTGAAAATAGGTCAGTGCTGGAAATTAAGCACAGAAGGTTCTTAGGCAGTGGGTTAAACCAACCTCTTCAGGACAAGGCCAGGCATGGAGAGAGCAGGGCAGCAGGCGAGGAGGATGCATTCCAGAGACAGCTTTTCCACACCCTTCATGGGAAATCCATTGCAACGCAGCCATTTTTGCACTCAACAGGAGGAAGACAATAACAACCCACATGTGGCCAAAAGAGAGGTGGGGGCACAAGGCACAAACAAGTGTGAAGGAATCACTACTGTCTGGGTCAGCCAGAGAGCTTACACCGAGACAGGCGAAGCAGGGACCGGGGAGCCCTCCTGCCACCCAGGAGTGCCTCCCCTGTAGGGAGCAGGGAGGGGAGTGAGCAATACCAGGGATCAACACCTTTGCTCCAAACAGCAAAGAACGAGAGGGCAGAGAAAACAAAGGGAGCGGGCTCTGGAGAAGACCCGATGAGTTAATTTAATAGCAGTATCCCACTTCAGAGGCCTGGGATTGCCTGTCACAGCTCTGGAGTGACACTGTTTACATTTGTGAAGCAGCAGCAGAAGGAACTACACCAACTTAGTTTAAACAGCAAATCCTCATTTCTTGAAGCAAGATCAGCTTGAAGATGAAAGGAAGGCAAGAGTATCCAAAGTATTGGGGAATGTCTTCACTGCAGGCTGTTGGAAGCTCCAAGGTACAGCCTGGCCTTAGAGGGGGATCCTGACAGGGGATTCCGACAGGTACAGATCACAGAGTGCTATTCCCAGGTCTCCCCCATCAGCTTCTGCCTGCACAAAAGCAGCTGAAGGACAGGGCAGGACCTCCAGCTAAATTCAGGCTCTCTGGCAGAACAGGAGCCAACCGGAAGCCTCAGCCACCAGACAGCCCTGACCTGCCACTGCGCTGACTTACGCTTAATTTAGCTCTCCTGGCTGGGACTGGGAAATGTCCTGTCATACAGAGGACTTGCCTGGCTGAGCCAATCAGCTCAACAGCGGTCAGGGCTGCAGGAGAAGCGATGCTGTCTCCAAGGGACAGGGACAGCAGTTGAGAAGGTGCTCTGAGAAGGAATGGGAGACACAGCAAGCTGACTGCAGGCTGCTGCCCTGGCACAGCCTCATCACTTGGCACCACCACGGCTCCACTGGGATGCTGGCTTCCAGGGAAGGTCCTGCCACAACTCTGGCTCTGCCATGGCACCACGCTGGGCTCAGTGCGTTTGCTCTGTAGCTGTGCACGTTTCTTAGCAGCTCACGTAACAGGGATGATGGCTGCAGGTCCCCGGTCAAGGCTTCCCCTGCCTCCTGAGTCCTCTGAGACCAAGGCTGACATGATCTGTCAGGAGTCAGCTTCTCCAACACTGCTGACAGCCAGTCGCTCACGCTAGGATGCTTCACTCCACATGTACCCTGAAGATGGTGCCTGTCCCAAGCTGTGCCACATGCCAACTGCCTCCTCCCTTCCGAGGAGTACGGTGTCTCCTTGCTGCTGCTCCACTAGAGCCTTCACTGTTCTCCCTCTCCTCCCCTCCCTCCCCCAGCCCAACCCCTCACCACTCCTGCTAGGAGCCACTCTCCTTCTCAAGGAGATGGGCTTCTCGTTGTCCACTGGGCCTGAACACCCCTCGCCCTCTCGGTGCTCTGGGGTAGGAACCACGCTCCTGGACTCTGGGCCTCTCCCACCTCCCACAATCCCAGGGCCTGTGGTGGCCCTGCCAGCTGGGAGCTGCTCTGTGGTCACTGCGGTTGAACATGAGGTTCTCCTTCTCCCTGCCCCGGGCCTCAGCTCCCTCCTCGGGCACCCATCTCTCCACATCACAGTGCTCTTCTTTCAAGTCCACTGCTTCTGTTACTGGTGAGGGGTCTTCAGGGCACAACTCCTTCCTTTCAGCCAAGGCAGCAGCCTTACTTCTGCTGTGAGGCTTTGGAAACTCTTGGTTGTGCCTCCCACCAGGTCTCCACTCTGGTCTCCGGCTGAAGCCCCTGGAGCCATGGAGTGGATGACGGGCTTCCTCTGCCGGTTCCTGCAAGCCACCGCATGACTGCCTGCCCTGGCCTCTGGGGCCTGGCCTCTCCCCTCTGTGCCTGTCCCTCTTGCTCTGTTGGTCTCTGGGCACAGCAGGCCTCTCAGGCCGCCTGGTTTCTGCCCTGGCCTCCAGCGCCCCGGCTGGCTCTGGAGCCGAGGCTTGGCTTGCACTCACCGGCAGCTCAGAGACAGCAGCCGCTTGACCTGGATCAACAGCAGTGGGAGGCTGAAAGAAAGAAGCCACCAGTGAAGAAAGGGACAGGGCACCTCCACAGCAGATGACAGTGCTCGGTCCTGCAGCCCAGGACCCCCCTCGCGAGCTCTCTGCCCCTGGTGCCATACCGCCTGGAGGCTGATGAAGTAACGGTTCCTCTCTGCCTCAGGGTCAATGATGCCCCCTTTCTCTTGCTGTCTCTTGAAAATTAGGCGCAGTTCTTCCTGATGCTCCAGCGTCTTGATATCTGGCCTGTACGGCTCCTGAGCAGCAGAAAGCAAGGCGGGGTAAGGGCTCTCTCAACACCCAGCATGGATAAACAGTGCTAAGAGCTACTCCCAAAACCCTCCTTTGATCGCACAGTGCCCAGGCCATCTGCTTCCCTTTGCCACATTTGACCAGGCCTGCAGATGCACACAAAGTCCCTAGACAGAGGTAGAGCATGCCAGCACAGAGACGCTGTTCCTGCAGTGACTGCGTTGGGACATCGTGCTGGGGGGCACGATGCAGAGCAGCTGCAATAAGGTCACTCTCCTGACCTTGATTATATCCCAGTGAGTACAGGGACATGCCCCATGTCAGAATCACCTCTCCCCCAGCACACCTGCTCAAGACTCAGGGCTATACAACTAAACCTGCTCTGTGTGGACACATCAGAGAGTCAGGAGACACCCTGCTAGGTTTTATGAACTGCCCTTTGGATGGGCCATCTAGCAGGACCTCACAACAGGCATTCATTTTATCCCTTATATTGTCCCAACTGAAGCTACCTAGCAAGTGGGCACAACCAGGCAGGTGAGCCCCCATCTCTTACCAGCGGGTGCTGCGGGGGTGGTGCTGCCTTCAGAGCACAGAGATCGTAAACCAGGGTCTCTCGGCAGACAGGGCACTGCACACCGACTTCCTGCAGGGAGGCAAGAGGTGATACCAAACCCCAGCCACAACCCAGCTCCCACGGTGCCAAGGCAGGGATGGCCAGGGTGTTCCAGCAGCATGGAAGCAGGCTGGTGTCTCAAATACTGCTACAGAATGTGGTTCCATCATGAGGCATGCTGGGATTTGTGCTCCAGCGGCTAACCGCTGTACAAAACCACCTCTGTCAGCATGTATGGCTCCAGTCCTCCTCAGCCTAGAATCTATTTTTCCCCACTCCTAAGTGGAGCATGTTATTTAGGCAGCACCTTTTCAAGAGGGTTTTGCAGGAAGGAGACGTGCTGTTTGCTCTGCAGCTGACAACTGTTCCAGCACCTGCTCGGGCAGGTTTTATCAGCCCAGAATGCAGGTGATCATGTTTATCCTGCTGCACACCCCTGCAGTTCAAGGACTTGGGAAGGAGCTCTCTTTTCTAATTCCTCTGGTTCCAGAATTCCAAAAACGCAACTCTCCTGCCCCCTCACACAGTGGACACTGACACAGAGATCCAACAAACCAACTGCTAAAGTACCAAGAACACACAGGGTAATTTGGGTTGGAAAGGGCTCTTGGAGATCACTTGGTCTAATCACTGCTCTGATTCTCAGTGCAGGCACAACACTGACCGTGCTGCCAGGTCAGGCTAGCCCTTGATCCATTGTGCCACAAGGGGTGACAGAGATGTCACGAGGGCCTGTGCAGGAGGCTGGGGGCAGGCAGCCGAGGGCCTGGTACCTGTTTGGGGGATGGTGCCAAGTGCTGCTCTCTCTCCTCCTGTTGCATGAGGATCTCCTCCTCCATGTGCTGGGCGTAGCGGGCCAGGCAGTGAGAGTGGAAGTAGTGGTAGCACTGGGTCTTTGTGAAGGCTTCTTTCTCCTGTAGATGAGAAACGGCAGTGTTAAAGGGTTTCTGAGGACAGGGTTGTGTGTCCTCCCCAGCTGAGGTGGGTTTTCACTCCCATGTCAGCGCTGGCAGTGGGGAACTAGCGCTATTGCTGGCAGAGCCACATAACATCTGCTGGGCCTCATCTGTACTTCCTCAGCTCTTACTGGGACACTGCTCCCTGTTCTGAGTAGGAGAAACACTCCTAATGTCAAGACGCAAAGTTTTTGTGACTGATTTCTCTGCATGTGTTCCTGTGTAAGCAGCAATCTTCCCCTGCAATGTGTTCTCCTTCCTAGGAAGGCACTGCCTCTCCTGGCAACCTGGACAAGGCAAGCTCCCCTGTCCCCACAGGCCTCAGTGCCTGCACAGATGTGTTCCAGTCCCTCCTGACCACCTGTGGGCTGAACTCCAGGCAAGGTTTGACCAACATAGGGAAGCTGAGATGCACCAGCAACTCTCCCCAGGCCCTACCCACTCCTTTGGAGACGCTCTGTCATCACTCGCTGCCCCTATGCCCTGTTTCTGTAGGTGGTTATCTTCAGGCTGACAGGGAGGGTAGCATATATCGCCCTAGGAAGGTTCATGCTCAGAAGGATCACCTACAGGCCAGGGCAGGAGGGAGCTGCTGAGGCACACCCTGGTCTCAGGCCGATATCCTGAGCTTTAAGCCCCCGACTCCCCGTTCTCTTGCCTCACTTCCCAGCCAGCTTGCAGGGCCAGGAGACACATGCCTACCTGGAATCCATAGAGACAGATCACACACTGGCCATGAGGAATGTTATTGTCAGTGAGAATCTCCTTCCCCTTCTGCGAAAGCATTAAAGCAAACTTTTACTCATTGGCCTGCCCATGGGCTCAGGGCTGTCCTGCCCCTCGGGCAGTCAGGGACCACAGTCTGTGGCTGGTCACTCCCAATCTCTCCCAGCTCTCACCTCAATCAGTTCATAGAGCATCTCTGTCCCCAGCCTGGCTTCAGCAACACTTCTGAGGGTCTGGGAAATCCTACAACAAAGCAGCAGAAATACTTAACACATTTAAATTTAGTCACACCTTTTCACTGTCCCATGTACCTATCATGCCACTATGATGACAGAAGAAAGAACTAGAGCACTGGCCTTCAGGCTTTGACTGCAGCACAGGATGGGCACATATGCACACATATTCACGTGCTCTCCCGGCTCCCCACAAGCTGGTGCACAGGAAGCCTTTGTCCTCAAAGGACTTGCAAGAGCAGGTTCACTGACTGCCTCGAGCTCACCTAGCACTCTTCAGTTTTGGTGAATCTCAAGCTTCGTTTATCTGATGGCAGCCCCTGAGCAGGTCTGGTGGCAGCTACGTTACCTTCTGTGCTGCCAGGATGTACCAGGGTCTCTCTGCACACACTCAGCTGCACCAAGGACAGGACCACAAAGGCAACAACGGGCTGCCCAAGGACTCGGTTCAGTCCCACCTCTGTCAAAGCAGGACCATCAGCTTCAAAGGCCCAGGGGATTTAGATCACATTTCAGGGGAACCACCACAGGGTGGAACCCTCGGTGTCACACTCAGCACCTGTGGCTCCCATGAAATTTAAGACAAGGTGATTTAGCCACCTGTATTCATCTATTAACCAGACGTAGGGAGCCACATGAATTTGAGAAAAGGCTTTTCCATCAGTTCTGAGTCCCGGATCTCTGGAGGAAGGGATCACCATCTCCCTGCTCTCCTGGCACTCACTTTTGAATTTGCTCATCTGACAGCCCCCGCGGGTTCCTGATTGAGATTTCCGGAGCATTGTTGGGATACTAGGGGAAAAAA